AAATAAAATTATCTAAAATTATAAAATAAAATTTAAAAATAAATAAGACTAAAATTTTAAAACTTAAGTTTTTGTTTTTTATGTTAAGTTTGTCTTAAACATCTCCATTTTTGTCTCTTCAAAAGCTCTTAAATCTAGTTTTGAATGAATATTTTTAAAGTTTAAGAAAACTTATTAGGAAAACAATAGGGCCCGGGATTTAAAAAAAAAAATGAAAATTCCTAATACCGGACGTTCTTTTGATCGATACTTAAGCGTAGGTTTTGACACTCCTGTTTATTTCACGTGAAAATAATTTTCAAAGCTAAACACATTGTGCAGACACCACAAAATACATGTCGACACCATACACGTGTGACTCCATTTCAATTTCCTCAATGGTAAAATAACAGATCTGTCCTTCATCTTTTATATTATGAGCAGTTTGATCTTTGAACTTCTGATTCATTCATTTAAATCCCAAAGAGGAACCTTTCGTCATGCAATTCAGTTCCTCAACTTTTAAAACATATTCAATTAGTCCTAAAAACTTCTATTATTAAGCATTTAAGTCTTTTTTTATACAAAAAAAAATGAAAATTATATAAAATCTATTGAAAATCACATTTAATCCATATAGATAGTAACAAAATTAAAGCTTTTTACCAAAAAACAAAACCAAAACTAAAATAATAGGTTAAAGCATATTAAATGTGCATCTCATTAGTAATTAAAACTAAATTATCTTCAATTTAATAAGTTCTATAACTTATTAAACAAAATTTAATAAGCTAAAATAGTAGACCCTAAAATAATAGATTTTAGGGAAGAAAGATCTCTCATATTTAGGGAACCCTCATACATCAATAGATATAATTGTATAATCTATATAAGTTAGATACACAACACATTACTGTAAATTAATTTATTTTATAATTTATTTAACACTCAATAAATTTGCCCTTTAAGTTTATTAACATTGCGTGACTCTAACGTAAAACGTTGTTTAAAGTTATCACCGCCCTGATACCTTCCGTCTCTTATTTCATTGTTTTCCTATGTACCTGATTTTGCTATTTGTGAGATAATTACAGATGCTAGAAGCCAATTAACAAGTCAAATATTAAGAAATTACGAAACTTCACATGATTGAAGAAACGTCATTCTCCCTAATTTTCTGTTTTTTTATATTCTAGCACAAGTGACAAACGCAAGCTACTCGTTTCATTCCTAAAAATCAATGGTTTTATTATTTTCTCTTCACCTTTAAGCTTTCTTATTTTTTCCCTTCATCATTAAGCTTTCCTCCAATTTTAAAAAACTTCAAACGCAGGCAACTTGTGTCATACTTCAAAAAGTTATAGTTAGACTAAACCAATGTTTTACAATCAAAGGTCTAACTGGATCTCATAATGGGGTAAAGTGTATTGTGTTCTGCTTATTAATATATTTTACTTTTATTTTAAAAAAAATTTAGGCACCAAATTCACGTTATGCGCCCGTTCGTTTATATTGACTTTTTTATAGTAATTATTAATTTTGATAATATTAATTAAATATGGTAAAAAATTTATTTTTTGTTCATTGATACAACAGTCTCAATTTTTATTAAATTCCACATAATTAAGAGATTAATATTTAATTAATTTATTAATTGTTAGTTTAACAAAATTAATATTTGACTATATGTTATTAAATAATGCATGATTTAAAAACACATATAAATCTTATAAATCTTAAAATCTACACATCTTTATATTGTATAAATGATTTTTCTCACATTACTTCATTACTTTTTTTCCTTTCATTTCACCTTTACTGCCTATATTATGTAATTAAATCTTCTCATATTTCACTATCTCTTTCCTTTCATTTCACCTTTACCGCCTATATTATGTAATTAAATCTTCTCATA